ATTTTTACACGACCGATAAACATTATATTTAATTGTTAGTTTAATAGTTCCTGATAAATAAGGCCACCTTTGATGAATCTCCCTTTATATTCATACCAAAAAATAGCTCATTATTATGAAAAATAGTTAAACCCCATTTCCATTGCCCATTACAATTCTTATCGAATACCTACTAAAGTTATACACTCGAGTAATAATGATGTAACCGCATAACTCAGGTAAAAGCTGTTATCGTTATTTACCAAAAGGGAGGATTTTAATTAAGTTAGAAACTAGTTTCAATTGCAACTAAATTCCAACCAAATGTTCGTTGTCCTTTGATCACCCGAAGTCAGAAAATTGAAAATACCTATCTTCGTGGTTTCGTTAATTTTATCTATGCTAAAGCAATTAAATAACTTTCAGACAAATTTATTAACTTTTAATCTCCCCACATTCAATCGCTACTGCTTTATTTTAAAGGAAATACCTACCCTTCATGGAGTTTTTCTTGTATTAAATTTAAAAGATTATCTTAATTATTAAAACTATAAACATAAATTGAACGAAGGTTCTTTTAATTACTATAAAAAAGTAAGTGGTATTTTGTGTAAAGACAAAGGTATATTTCCCCGCCTACTATGTTAATAATCTTTGGTTGAAAATATAAATTACCATAGACATTACTACAATCTTTAAAAAGAAAAATAAACTGAAATTCGAATATAAATAATTTTTTAATTGCAGAAATATTTACTTTCTCTGCACTCTGATAAACTGAGATTTAGACAATTATATAAGTATAATTAATATTCTTCAAAAAATGTTAAATAATTTCATTAAATATTATTTAAGTATTACGCACGGTATTGTAATGTGAGCCATTTCAATATTCAGTCATACTCTAATCCTCCAAGTCCCTCTCTGTCTTATTTGGCCTTTGAGGCTCAACTTGTCCGATTATCATACATAATTAAACCCCTTAAGACCAAACATATGTGACGACTATGGCGGAGGTGCTTTCGATTACTATTCGAGAAAAAACGGGATAAAGTTTCTAGTACATTCCAAATATATCGCGATTTTTCTAGTTTGGCGGAGGAGCATTCTGGAACCTTCACCATAATTTTAAATGTGTATATAATTATTGGTGGAGGAACAACGCGGTCAGTTATATATGGACAGTGAAGATAAATAGTGAACAATTTAAAGACATTGGAAATATATAAATTAGAATAGTATTGTTTTAAAATCAATAAGTGTTTAAATAAATTATTAATAAATGAACTGTTGTTTAAAATAAACAAACATTACATTGGTGTCAGAAGTGGGATAGTGTAAATAAATAGTGGACAATAATGGTTAAAAAACTGTTTGATTTAAAAGTGGCTGAATTGCGTCGAGAATTAGAAGATCGTGATCTGGAGACGAATGGGAAGAAAGCAGAACGACTTAAAGAAGCACTAGAAAATGAAAGTTTGGATCCGGAAACGTATCTATTTTCGGATGACGCTTCTTCTATAATTTCTTTAATTTCTTCCGATATAAAAACCGAAATATCATCTGTGAAACATAAAATTTCCTCTTTAGAAACCAAAGTTTCGTCTGATGAAATCCGATATTTCTTCTAATATTTCCATATTAGAAAATAAAGTTTCTTCAGAGGTTTCTTCTATAAAAAGTGATATTTCTTCCTTAGATAGTAAAGTTTCTTCCTTAGAAGAAAAGGTGTCTTCTGACATATCTTCTTTAAAAACAGAAATTTCTTCCGACTTGGAATACAAAAGTTCTTCTCTAAAAAATGAAATCTCTGTTGATATGGAAAACAAGATGCCTTCTGTAGAGGAGAAAATAAAACAGATGGAAAAGAATATAGATGAACTCGAACATACTGAACCGGCCAAGGACGGTGAAATAAAGTGCCATGAGGTAGAGTCGAAGTTGAAATTGGAGGAAACTGTAAATTGTGCTCGTGTTAAAGCCCCAACTTTCGATGGAAAGATGTTACGAGCTTAAACTGTTCGAGACAGCTGCAAAAGCAAACGAATGGTCTAAGAGAGAAAAGGCAGTGAATCTGACCATCGCTCTTCGAGGAGATGCTTTAGATGTCCTTCAGACTATACCCGTGGAAGAGACAGATGATTTTGAGCAACTCAGAAAGGGACTCAACATGCGATATGGCCACGAACATTTGGAGCATTTATACCAGTCACAGTTAAAGAATCGTAAATAGAAAGAAACGAGACGAGACTCTTCAGAAATATGAAGAAGATATTGCCAGGTTGGTGCGATTTGCCTACCCATCAGCTCATTATGGAATGTTTGGCAGTTCAAGCATTTGTAGATGGACTTCGTGACATGAAATGCAAAGAACATTTCTTTTAGGCCCGTCACAGAAGATTGATCGATGTCTTGTCCGCTGTACAGTAAAGTAATGACTGTAAACGAAGAAGAACAGGGAAATAAATTGGAACAATTGTTTCACATAATAAAAACCCGTATTGAGAAGCAACCGAAGACTATTAGGTGCTAGACTTGCGGTGAAATGGGAAATGTAACCAGTTCGCGCAAACGCCCAAAAAACATTACGAATCTAAAAACCGTGCTGATGGCTATACAGGAAGAAACGGTGTTGCCTGAAAGTAGTGAAACCATAAGAGCAACGCGGTTGCAAGGAACTGTAGGGAAAGCAGCGCCTATCATGGCGAAACCTTCGAAGCGCAGTGAAGGTGTTGGTCAAGGAACTCTGATTGAAAAGGGGTTGGCCACATCTGCTAAAGAAGTTACAGTACGAAGAACGTCGGTTATTAGCGATGAGTGGGCCCCTGTCAAACTTAGGAAAGAACAAGAAAACGATCCCGTTTTAAAGGAGATGCGACAATGGAAAAAGGAAAATCGTCGACCTACTTGGCAAGAAGTATCGGAACATATTGGGCTCAGTGGGACTCTTTCATACTCGAAGATGGCTTTCTAAAGCGAGTTCTTGAAAATGATGATGGTTACGAAAACAGAAGACAGTTGGTCATTCCAAGAAGTAGAGTAGCTAAAGTACTTTGTCAGTTACACGACAGTCCATCAGGAGGACATCTGGGTGTTAGGAAAACCCTTCAGAGTGTTGGGGAAAGGTTTTACTGGATGAACAGTTCCGATGATGTAAAGGACTGGTATAAAAAATGTAACACCTATGTTATGAGTAATGGACCTCAACGAAAAAGGAAGGCTCCCATGAAGCAATACCACGTTGATAACCCATTTGAGAGGATCGCCTTAGATATTGCTGGAACGTTCCCCGTGACCGAGGATGGTAATAAATACATTTAGGTGGTTATGGACTATTTTACAAAGTGGGTGGAAGTCTAGGCAATTCCAAATCAAGAGGCCGCAGAAAGGCAGAAATTTTGAAAGTCAACTTTTTCGTGGAATTTGTGACAGACTGGACATGAAGAAAACCTGAACCACAGCATTGCACACATAATCCGATGGAATGGTAGAGCGAATGAATAAGATCATTGGCAAATATATGTCAAAAGTGGTTTCAAACCATTAGAGAGATTGGAATCAGTATCTTTCGCTCTTTACAATGGCTTATAGATCCGCTGTAAATGAATCAACATGCTAAACACCAACAAAGATCTTGTTTGGGAGTGAGATGAGACTACCGTACTACCTCGAGTTTGGATGCCGACCTAGAGAAGATGTAGCTGGTGAAGATATTGTGATCCAGTTACGAAGAAGAATGGACGATATGCATGAATTAGTTCGCTCGCATCTTCAAATCGCCAGCGACAAAATGAAGAAGCGATACGATACCCAAGCCACAGAAGGATGTTTCAAAGAAGGCGACAAAGTCTGGCTCCGTAACCCAAATAGACAAAAGGGTTATACGCCGAAACTTCAAAGGTCTTGGGAACCGAAGGTAGTGCAACAAAACAGGCTGGCGCCATTTGAGGGTGACCATCAAGAAGAAGTAAACCAACTTCAAGAAACACCAGACCTTGTCTTTGAAGAATTTATGGGTGCATATGGAGGTACTGGAAAAGCCAGATATGGTATTACGACCGAGCAACAACAAGATCTGTTCTCGCTTCCAAAAGACTACTCGCTGGTCCATAGTACTTCCATCAGCATGAACGATGCCAGAGGACTGGCATATGTGTTCCGTAAGAAGTTTGGTCGACTGCTGGAACTCAACGTCAGTTACCAGCTCCTGGAAAAGCCTTGAAATTTCAAGACGAATCGCGCTACCTTTTCTATTTGATAACGAAGAACACCTTCCAAGATCGATACACTTATCATGATGTATGGGAAGCATTACTTAGTTTAAGGGAGCATGTACGGGAGTCCAATGTACAGAAACTAGCCATTCCGAAGATAGAAGGAAATCAGCTGGATTGGAGGATCATTAGGAACATGGTGGAAGTAATCTTTTAAGATACCGGAGTCCAAATACTGGTCTGCAACCATTCGCCCAGTGCCCAGGTTACAGCGAATACAGTCCCTTGTTACATCCATGCAACTGAAAATTGTTGTTTAAAATAAACAAACATCACAGTATTATGTATTTAAAAAATTCAAAGAATTCCCTCTAAGTGCCTATATCATTAATATTATAAGTTTATAAATCCCCACCTCGTATATGAATTATATGTATCCTTCCTTATCTTAGTATTTTTTGTTTGATTTTTTTTTTAAATAATTCTAAGATTCTTTGTAATATTTTTTCTGTTTTAATTATTGTCCCTTTTTATGCCAAGTTATTTAAAAAATATATTTTAGATACGTTTATGTGCAGTTTATTTGTGAAATTCTTTAAATTCAATTGAATTGACAGAAAGTGTCATGAAAATATTTTCGTTCAATGGGTGTTTGAACTGTGTAGTCTAAATTTTCGTGTTTAAAGCATCTGCCATCCCTTTTGCCCCATAAGGTTTTCTAGTAGAATGTCTATTTTGTAGTAAGTTTAATTTCATATTAATATTTTTAGAATAATGTTCTTTAATATTTTTTAGGAATAGGAGTAACCACTTACAATACAATTTAACATCAATTACATAATTATTAAGCGATTTTTGTCATTTTAAACATAAACCTTAGAAGAATGTCAAAACCTCCAAGTTGCTGCCCACCAATTTGTCCTAGACCATGCCCACCAGTTATTCATCCACCTTGTCTACCAAGATGCCCCCCAGCATGCCCCAGACCTTGTCCTCCGGTAATACCACCGCCTTGTCTACCTAGGCGCCCACCATGTTGCAATCCATGTCCATGCCCACCATGTTGCAATCCATGTTCATGCCCACCATCTTGTCCGCCTAGTTGTCCACCTAAGTGACAAACAAGCAATCTGAATATATCTTTGATGCTATATCTGACCAGACCCTGGATTTTTTTTAATTTGCTTTTTACTGAAAATATAAATGATCTAGTCCAGGATCCGTAAGTAAGGTCGACCTTCACCCATCTGTTTACCGGATGAAAGTTTCTTTTTATTAAATAAAATATGTTTTTAAATATACCGCAAATGGGTTGCCTAAAAAAATACGGTCACGGCCATTTTTTCCTTTCCTTTCTGTGTACAGATGAGGAAAGTATAGGAATCATGATAAAAGTTGCTTATGATGTTATTCTCTATTATTTTGTCCCTATACATGATTTCCCTAAAATGGACCTAACTCGAGATATTTAAGAAAAATTGCAAATTTCGAATTTTGAAGACAAATCAAAAACTGATAAAGAGAAAAACACCAAATTTTAAACTTAGGCTTTAATCTATCATGCGGTGAGCTGATTAAAGTTGGGGCATAATCGAAGCATCTGGTAAATACTTTACAGGGTGTTGTTTTTTATTTTTAGAAAATAAATACTCTGGACCGTATTTTCTTAGGCAACCCTTTTGCGATATATTTATAAACATATTTTATTTAATTAAAAGAAACTTTCATCCGGTAAACAGATGGGTGAAGGTCGACCCTATTTCGGATCTTAGACTAATCTTTATACACATCATTAATAACTAATATAATTATCTAAATCTAAAATAAAACATTTTCAGATGCTTCAACCCATTTTTAAACTTTTTACTAAAAATTTTTTGACTACTGTACTGGAAAAGGAGAATCTTATTTAGTAGATGTTTTATTCTTATAACTTTTTAACGCATTTTTGTCTTCTGAAAGAGCAGAAATCGCAAAACAACTTTAAAAAATGTTTTTAAAATATATGGTGGTATAGTATTTTTTTTTTATCTTTAGGTTTACGTCATATACATTAGATTAGATTAGGAGTTGGACGTTATTTGCCCTTGTCCACCGCGACCTTTTAGATCTATTGTGTTTTAGGGTATGTCGTCTAGCCTGGTCTTTTTTATTAGACTTAGTAGCTTTGACAATGGCTCCCGCATGTAATTACATGCAATTGGCTTTTCTTCGTCCAATGTTAGAAACCTCATTCCAGCCAGGCCTTCGCATTGGCACAGGACGTGGAATGATGTTTCCTCTTCTTCTTCAGAGAACCTGCACAAAGTTGCTTCTTCTGCTGGATTTATAACACGCATGTGCCTTTTGAGGCGACAGTGTCCAGTAAGAAGGCCTACTGGTATCCTAACGATTTGACGCTTTTGATCCAGTAGGTCTTTCGTGAACTTGGCCGATGGTTCCTTGATGAACTGTTTGGCCTGTCTCAGTCTTGGATAGTTGTTCCACCATTCTTGAGACTCTTTTTGCATCCATTGTTTAATGGATGCCTTGCATAATGCCTTAGCAACTCCACAGAAGGATTCGGGGCCTGTCATGGCCTTATCTGAGCCTTCTCGGGCTAATTTGTCGGCCTTTTCGTTGCCCTGATATCCCTCATGGCCTGGAATTCAGACTATTTTGACTATTTTGACTATTTTGACTACTTAGCTCTGTCAGGTCTTCTAGACAGTCTTTCACCAGTCTTGATTTGATTTCTGGTGAGAGAATTGCCTTTAGAGCTGCTTGGCTATCAGAGTATATGGCAATAGTTTTGCCTGATACTTGCTGATACATAAATCAAGGTATAATAATTCACATAAGAGACGTAATTCTGCTACAGCCTAAATGACATATATATGGAATATAAGTAAATAGTTTTACCGGAAAATCTATAGATAAATAAGATGATCATTCTAGAAGATGATCTGAATTTTCATTTTGGTAAAGCCAAAGTTGAGTATGATGAAGTGAATGTTAAATCTGAATCAGGACTCTGGGGTTGTAAGTATGAAGTAAAGGAAATATTAAGGAAGAGAAAAAAAAAAGGGTAAAGCGATCGGGTTCTATGAAATTCTTGTAGTCTGCAAACGTGTAGAATATAAAGGCGTTGAGTGACTTCAGCTGTTCTATAAAAAAATATTGTTCCAGTATACGAATGCAAAGGGATAGATACTTAAAATTACTAAAAAAAAATTAAATAAGATAAACCCAAGAAAGGGGGTTACCTTTGAAAATTAGGAATGAAGCTACAGTTTGGTATGTTGGTCCAATTTGTGCTGATGGGTCCCTTTCAATTGCTCCCGGGCTGCCTTGCTTCCATTTTTTAGGAGTGTCTTTTTTTAATTCGATTTTTTGAGAATCTTACGCAAACGGGCCTAGCCCGAAATGAGAATATTTGTAACAAAAAAACTATGAGAATACTACCCTAGTTATTATACTTTACCCTCTGGAGCGTCTTGAAAAGAGCATGATTTCATTTCGCGAACGCTATGGGCCGAACGAATAGTCGTATTTAAATTATTCTTAAACCGCAATATACCAGAATAAATGCACTTAGTGTTTTCTTCTAGTCGATAGCTTAACATTTAGGGAAATGGCGAGTGTTCAAAATTGGCTGATCTTTGTAAATTTTATCAAACTTTAACGGAATCCTTATCGTGTCAGTTTTTCAAAATCTTTGTCAGAATTTTCTTTAATTAGATCAAAGAATAACTTTTTTTAGCTCTTCCACTATTAAAATTTACTGCCTCATTTTCGTCACTACTACTACTACTACTACTATTGGATAGCTTGTTTGAATCAGAATTTATTAACATCCGTATTTACAACTTTAAATATTAGACAGTGTCCGCATGTTCTAATAATGTGAGAAGTTAACATCGTCACCGTTTACTTGACATCTACTCATGCGCAATAGGTATTAATAACGGAGACGGTAATTGCCTTAGAGCTCGACGGAAGTAAGAAACTTTTAACGTTAACATTATTAACATAAAATTTAATTAAGTATTTAAATAATTGCTACGTCTCTAATTAGTCTGTAATTAATTTGGATCTCTATCACCAATATCGTCAGTGTAAATCGCAAAGTGCTTGACTCCATTTAGAAAAGTTTTATAGGAGAGCCAAAAAAGTAATGTAAATAAGTTCAAATTTAAACTGAATTTGTTTCTATTAGAAATACTGTAATTTAGATGAATAATAAAATAAACATTTCTCAGACGGTAAATCTGCTATTTTGGTAATAGATGGAGTTATAATCAATTATTTCAGAAAAAAGTGGAGTTATGCATTTTGCAATTTATACTGACGATATACTATTAAGGGACGGGGCAGCAGTGCAGCCAGCCTTACGGTCCTGGAGTTCTGAAGGAACATCCATTCACTCTTTGCAAAAGTGAATAAAAGAAGAAAACAAAAAACAATATAATCCCTAGTATCATAGTTGAGCAATTTTTTGCACCTGGTCAAAGACTCTAATAGTCCTTAAGGAAGGCTTCGCAAATGTTTGAAGTATTTTCATAACTGCTGTGTTGGAAAGGGATGAGTGAATACTAATAGATGAGTAGAAAATCGAATGGCAAATAAAATGAATAAGTAAACAAAAATAATAATCTCCATAAACAGAATTTATTTAAGGATTAAATAAACTTTACATTGAATGTACTATTTCATAATATGCTTAACCTTTTTAGCAATAACTTATGAATAGAGCTATTGAGACACTAATTAAAATCCCAGTTCATGAATTGTAAGCATTTCAATTGCAGATTTGTGGGCAGGTACGTTATCCTGATATAAAAGTACTTTTTCCTTTACCAGAAGAGATCGTTTCTTTTTGAGTTTGACTATGATGTTTTGCAAAAATTGGCATAACCATTTATTGTTTTCCCCTTTTCTAAGTAGTGTACCAAGATAATTTCATAAGAATCCTTTTTTATCTTTATCTTAGTTGGTTATACGCAGGTAGTGTTAGGTTTGGGTCTTGGGTCTATTGTATTCCCTGCTTTCCTCGTATTCAGGTTCTATTTTTGGAATAGGCCTGCGTTTTTAGTTAATTTTGGCTTGTTTTTTTGTACTTCCTTCTTAAATTCTCTCTATTGCATGTATTTTAACCTGAAATACAGTGGTATGTTTTCCCAATGATACGATGATATTGTATTTTGGTTTAACTCCATGTACACCAGAGCCTGTTCCCTTGTTAGTTTTAGATCATTCCGTACACCATACGAGACCTCCTTATTTATCTCGTTCGAGTTGCAGTTGACCTAGAAGAGTCTGTTGAAGATAAGGTGGGGTGTCATGTGATCTGATCTTATATTTTATATGTCGCAGTGGGTTCCAGTTGTTGGAAATGTCCAGTCTGTATGCACTCAATTCTGGTCTCCCCCTTTATGACTAGATAAAGAGGTAGAAGGTTTAGAATGATTTCCATAGAGGCTCACGGCGTACTTCTCAGTGCTCCTGTAATTCAAAGGCATGTCAGCCTCTGAACTCCTGAGAGGGTAGAGAGGGCTGTTTTCTGGTTTACTTATGGCCACCAAACAACCGCTCCATAAATTATCATGGATCTTATTATTGCCAAATGTAGGCAGTGGACCATTTTCGGTATGTTTTTCCAAATGCTCGTATCTCTACAATGAGAGACATTTTATATTTGTTGGACATTTTTTGTAAGTGTTGGTTCCAAGTTAGTTTACTATCTAGGATTAGACCCAGATATTTTACTTCCTCCAAACAGAGTCGGAATTTCTAAGACCTCCAACCTTTGTTTTCCGAGTAAAGGCTATCAGTTGTGCCTTGTCAGGATTTACCAACAACTTTTTCCATAAGAATCACAAAACACTGTTCCCATAAAACCCTTCATGCTAGCAAAACCGTTTTTGCCTTCTTTAATGGCGAAGAACTTTTGTGTTTCAACTGCTTGGCCTTTTTTTGTTTCGGGAGTATAGTGGTTTCATCGACAATTATGAAATGGCGTGAAAAGTCCTTTAGATTACAGCGAAAACGTGTAAAAAGGTCACGAGAAACACTCAAACGATTCAGTTTTTGGTCCTGTTGTAACAACCAGTTAGCCTAAAGACCAACGCTCGTCACCAAATGTAACAAC